CTCTGCTTAGTTTAATCGGTGCAAACATTGGGGCGTATATCGATTTTTCCCAAAGTACAAATGAACTTTTGTATGATTTACACAGTGAATCATAAAAGTTTCATCGGCGCTATACATGAGCGCAAAATTTAAGGTTTATTTGCCCGCACTTCATCGTCTCGCCCTTCTACCGACCGCAACTAGCAAGTTCACTTTTCGACCCGTATAAGTCTATCGCTTGATTTGCGAACGTTTGCAACAGCGGCAGCCACACACATTCTCTAATCAACTGATCGCTTTCAATGAGTAGTTAAGGCAAGTTTAGTTGTGTCCGCACTGGCAATGTAACTGATGGAAGTAAACCCACCTAAGTGTACAAGGCCCACTTTGACCTGATTTGATTGTACAAAATCCTTAACAGCAGCTTGAACACAGTAGTTACACGAAAAAGCTTAGAATGTTCCCTATCGAAAGTCGTAATGCTGGGACCAACGCTATTCGCTGCGCGGCATGGTTCCAGAGAAAGGGTGCGGCTAGTTCACGATTGACTGGTAGAACGTTGGCTGTCATCGCCCTCGTGACTTACTGTTGTGTCGAACATAGGAGCAAACCTAGCCTGCTTACATAATTATGTAGCGGCAGTTTTACCGAGACAATAGTGGAGAAACTTCATTAAATCTACTCACCAATGAATTAAGAAAGCAAGAACGCATTTTAAGCAGGTCATATGTTGTAGGTTACCATGATGAGAAGTTATTAAAAACCACTCTTTCTGTAAAGAGCAGATGCTGTGTATTAGTGAGTAATCGCCTTAATAGTTTACATGCCACCACGACTGGTAGCGGCTTGCAATGGAAGTCGTAGCTCTGGGGCTAACCCTGTCCTCTGCACGTCCCTAACATGTTTGAAAGTAGAGGATGAGCTGCGCGACATCGCATTTAGATATCAGTCATGGTGGTCCACCGCCGTCGTCCATGGCTCAGTGACGTCAATCGCTGGCTCGTAAGAGTAAGGTCATGGGTTCAAATCAGGCAGGTTTCGGCGGGTGCGCCCTACTGACGAGTCCCAACAGGACGAAACGGTTGTCTAGCGCTTTCCTGGATGTGTGTCTGAGTCTAGCTACGATGAATATTCTCAAAAAGGTGCTGTGTAGTTGGTGTATATTAGTGTTCAGCTAAAAAAACCCTGTGACCACTCGAAAGCGATTCAATACATGCAGTAGAGCAGGGGATACCAAACTACGACCATCGGGCCGGATCTGGCCAGTCTGCTGTATCCGAATTTGCTAAGCAAATTGTAGGAAAGAGTCGCCGTGATGCACGTCGCATTGTCAGTAGCCTTACACTCTCTGAGCACTAGCGTAAGCTATCTCAGGGTTGTTACTTGTGAGACCGTACTATTAGTGGCCCAACATCATTGGAACATTGGGGTGAAACCCATGCATTCGTGCACCGTACCGTGTTTCTGTTTACCTCACATCTTTGTGTCACAATATTCGGATCCGTCCGCTCACTTGAGGCACGCCAATAGTTTATGTATGTGTCATTGCGGAGCCATAATTGGAACGAATTGCAATGTGATATTACGGAATTGCTCTGGAAGTGTTAATTGTGGGGCTTCATACATTTTGATATTGCTAAATGCATGTCTCATCAATGGTCCCTACTCCTCTGCTTTTCCGATGTTTCAATTGAATTTGTATCATGTTTGTAATTCCTTATATTTTTCGTGATCAGCCTTTATTAAAGCTATTGAGAAAAGAAAAGCGGATAAGGAGTGTCGCGTTTCCGTTGTCTTTTTCCCCAAAGTATTCGTTCCGGTCTCCAAGTATTACGGAGATTATTCATGCAGCTCAAGCTAATCATTGCATTAGTTATCCGACCCGCGTTAGTTATTTTTGCAGTAATCCGGTCCGCTGTGAATAAAGTTTGGTGACCTCTGCAGTAGAGGACTGAGAGCGAAAAATCTTCGCCCGTTGGCTTGGAATACCAGAAGAAAAGTTTCCTAAATTCTGATAAAAGAGTGAATTTACATGGTTCACTGCGAACGAAGATAGCGAGTCATGGAGGAGGAGACCGTAAGCAGTAAGCACAGAGCAGCAAGATAGTGGCAATGAAACTGGACTCGAAATCGGCGCAATGGTTTACGCATCATTCAGTTTTACATAATTTTTCTAAGTGATACTTAGATTCACTTCGGAAAAAACCTACACATGGCTGCTCAACGCCGAGATCTGATACACAGTCGCTAGACCTCCAAAGAGAGGATGTGAGGCGAAAAGGACTCAACTTGTGGATTGCTGATGCGGGGGTGGCCGAGTCGTAGTCCGTTTCATAGTGAATGACACAACTTTGATTTCAGCATGTCCACGAAAACCGCATTCCGTCTCTTCTGGAACCGTTAATCGAGGTGATGGTATTCGACAAGTGACGTGGGATTACTAATGAGTAAACGGATATGGGTATAATTTTATTTGGTTTATCGCAACCAGATTACAAGCCGCAAAGGCGAGTTACCAATGCGGAAAAGTCCTACCAGTTCTTAAGCTGCTGTGTAGATTCAAGGCACTGGCAAGGGAAGTCCTGACTCGGACGGCTAACCAATGCCCTCTTCATGGGCAGTAAACTGCATGGAAGTGGGGGATGGGTCGGGCTATATGGCAGTTACAGTCCGTGATACTCGGCTACCGGACCCATGGCTCAGTGGCATTAGCTGCTAGTTAGTGGTGCAAGCACTTTATACAAACCCACGGTTAAAACATGTATGACAGTGAATTACCCTAGCGCAGTTGGTGTACAAGCGCTGCTGATGAGGATGCGTGTAATGAAAGCGAAATATGACCGGTTTCCCATTTTGTTGTGGATCCTTAGTCCTACGAAAACCAAATGAAGAATAATTAAGTAACTAGAAACATTCGTGACAAACTAAGCGAAGTGATGGGTTCAGACACATATCATTAGTGCGAAAAACCAAAGTGCACCTTTCTGAGCCATCGTCCCTGGGCAAATCTGATAACGACTCGATGACTTGTGCCATGAGATGTGAACTGTGCACACGTTCGCCAGCAATGGTAAAAATAGCCAAGTTCTCTGGATAGAAAGCGTCATCCATCTGTCGCACATGAAGTGTCTCGCCGTTTGGAGTTCGTATCAGCATCTGGGAATATGGAAAAACGAACATTGCGAAATGGTCAGTGTCGTCAAAAATAATAAGCAGTGAATGAATAAGCAATATGAAGGTACCATAAATGAAGATTGGCGGGAGTAAAGTTAATGACTTGGCTGAGTAGTAAGGGAATATCACAATGGCGGATTAGCAGAATGGGAAAACCGAATGATTTAGGCTACTAGCTAAATACTTTATAGTTTCAATCTACCGCTTCCTAAGAAACATAATAGGAATGGTTATTTGGTTGACTGGCAGCTCACTACTCTTCCAAAAAGCTGGATCACTAACGCCGGCCTGTTTGGGAGCGAGAACGTAGACATCCGAAGCACACAGGCCCGACCAATTCCAAGCACAATGGAGGTGGATGACATCTGAATGGTGAAATCCACCTGGGACCAGCGATCCAACAAACTGGACCTCTAAACACAATACCGTCGTGATTTACACTTTGGGACGGTATCAAACAACTAATCAATCAAACTCAGGTAATAGGGTAAATAAATATGCGTCTGGGGCCGAGTGACCGAAGAATCATCAGCATCAGCCGTGTATGAGCGACGCAAACTCACCAAAACATAAATCCATTTAAACCTATGAGGAAATTGAGCTGTTTGATTGCCATGAGCAACCATAGGATGCGTCAGGGCAAGTAGTGACCATCGAACAATTAAGCATTTTCAGGTTGGAAAAGTATCTTGTCTGTAAGGTTATAAAAAAGCTTATTTGTTTGGTTAAACGAGAGGTATCAGTAAACAAATAGACAATACAAGAAAACGAAACGCCAAAAATTATTGATAACAAAAGAGCAGAATTAGAAATCAGCATAGGTACGGGTGATCAGGCTAGATAAGCCACAAGGTGCATCACGACAAAACTGGGCTTTAACCCGGTGCGATGATTGGCCTACTTCTTCCTTCCAGTGAGCTATACTGTGCGTTGCCCCAGAGCCACTCACAGATGAACTCAGCCTCATCGCCCTCCAGATCGGGGGTTGATAATAGGATAACGTCCATTTCTGTAAGAGCAGATCGCTGCCACCTCGCTAATTTGCGTTTAGCGCTTTGGGCAAAACGCTTTGGTTGAGGACTCTAAACGTTCTCTCTACGTTTGGGTGACGTGACAGTATCCCGACTAAAAAAAACTATAAATAACTGTAATTATCGTCAACTTCTAGCTACGTCCTATATCGGCCGTCGCGTAGTTTCGAAAGAGTCGCCTTAACTGCCGCATATCTTACGGCGCATAAGAGATGAGACGTTATTGCCGGCGCTTCTCTTCTTTCTTTTCTACCTATTGCCTTTACTCCACTACCTCTATTTCTAATGTTTCTCTTACCATTCCCGACCTAACAGGCGGGAGCAACAGTACCACTGGGATCCTGCCATCTGCAGCTAAATTACAATAGCATACTTCGAACTCATACCAAAAACAGTCCCATAGTAAGCTACGCTGTCATTTCAGCGTCAACGTTCGCACTCGAAGACAAACAGATCAGGAGGTTGCAATTGCGCAGATATTGGACATGCTGTGTCAACGTGTGCTGAGTGTTGGAACCTAGAATCAATGATCCTCATAACGTTAGCAAACTAATTGTGTCAGCCTGTCCTCTCGTCAACGTATGCACGCGTCTGGCGATGCTCCTGCAACAATCACATGTCAAGCCGGGGTGGGAATTGTTCTTAGCTGAGGCTGAATCGGCGTTGGTTATTTGGATTCCCGTGAAATGTCGTCTATGAGCAGACCGTTTGACAACATCAAGTTAGGTTAGCTCAAGAAGCGATAATAGGCGATGTCTATTTGTTATTGCCGCTCATGCCTGCACCGATTGGTCTGGAAGCCACTAAAGACGCCTTCTACCAAGAACACAGTACGCGGCTTCGCAGCATTACCAGTTCAGATATCGTTCCAGTTACAAAGCAATGACATCTCTGAATTGTCGGCTGACTGCGACGAACAAAAATACTTCCCAAAATCCTTCCATTCATAAGCAATGACAGACCTGTTTGAACAGGTCAGGAAGGTAGAGACCATCCAGGCCAACTAAGGTGAGTCGGTCCAAGTGGCAATAAGCAAGCGTATTAGCACAGAATGAGCTAACAAAATGGGTATCAGCATGACGCTAATAGTGATAAAGCCACAGACCTCAATCATCGTTAGTCGCCTCACTGCGCAGTGGCAAACACGGATGAGGGAAGAGTAGTCTGGAGAGCGGCTGCATAGACCACATACTTTGCGACAGATGATAGAGCTGCGTCAAAAGTACACCAGACAGATGATAGTTGTGTTGCCCAACATCAAGAATCCGTTCGGCTCAGTCAAACAATTCATTCTGTTCGCAACAGTTACGCGGAAAGGGGTTCCCATGAAACATGTACGCACTAGAGTACCTTGTACTAGAACACAGACGGTGTCAGCGTCTACGGTGACCTACCAGATGTACTCGAGACAACAAGTGCTGTCCAGCAGCTGTAATGCACATGTGATCAATCAAAGCCAATTCCTCCAGTTCCCCTCATTGATCCTCTCACTGAATGTCTCATGCATGTACCCTAGTTACTTGTTTTCCATGCCAAACTTACAGTTGGTGTACCACCAGCCTTAGTACTCCTTTCTTTGATTCATGTTCTGCTCGACCGATCGCTACTCTGTATTTGTTCCGTCCCACACACTATCTCGGCTAAAGGCCAAGTCCCGTATCGATCTTCGATGCACCTGCCCACTGACCGGTGACACAGTTACCCATTTAGCTAGCCTTTAACCTGATGTGATTGGACTAATATCTGTTGGTCTCCTGATTGGCTCGTTTGTGCACGCCTAGTCCAGACAGGCACAGAGGTGGCTCAGTGCTGACTTGAACACGCCAGATTGATGCCCTATTGTTGTAACGGCTAACTGAGTGTATGCGTCTTTTGTTTGAGGACATTGTTGAAGTATGTCGTTACTATGATATTCTATTGTTTGGATAATAGCACGGATCTTTTCCAGTTAAGCCCCGCCACTAAGGCAAAAAGGGTACACCTGAAAAGTCAAGCCCCATCAATAGTGCAAAAAGGGCACGCATGAAAAGTTGAGCCCTGCCACTGTTTGCCAGCTCCAGTGTACGTAATGCATGTGAACGTGCCCCATAAAAACACTCCTTATCCGCTTCTAAGGTCATTTTTGTCCAAAAAGTTTCTACGTTCGCACGTAAAACCTGAACTGAACTTTCTGACGCTTCCGGCGGTCGTTCATGACAAGGAAACAGCAATACGTTTTTCGCAAAGCCATGGAGTGATTCATCATCAACGTTTATGCAGACGAGGACACCAAATGACACTTTCAACTGTTTCTGACAGGTGAAGGTGTGATGCCCGACAGTGTCGGCAAGAAATCGGTCTTCGAAAGGGAACCTGGTTGGAGCGGTCTAGGATGGATTTCAGGACAATAATCCTATTCATTTATTGTTGGTCCAAAAATCTGACAACAATCAAATTCTGCTCAGAGGAGTTATCTATTGGCCACGCGACCGCTGTCGACTGGAAGAACTTTTTGCGTGAAATTTGCGCCTGGCAGCTTTTGCAGACTCCAACGATTGTTGGCGGCCCAGGTCTACATGTCGAGATCGATGAAACCCTAACATCACGTCGTAAAAACTATGCAGGGCGAGTCCTTCCCCAGCAGTGGATTTTCGGAGGGATTTGCCGGGAGACTAAAGAAGTGTTCTTGTATGCAGTGCCAGATCGAACTGCGGCCACTCTGCTGAACACAATCCAGGCCTGCATCGCTCCCGGCTCAATTATCATTTCCGATATGTGGGCATCATACCAAGGCAGTGAATCGATGATTGGCATGAGTTATACTCATCAAACGGTTAATCATACCGAAAACTTTGTGATTCCAACGTCTGGAGCTCACACACAAACCATCGAATCTCTCTGGCACATTTACAAGATGCAGAATAAGCGCCAATGCGGCACACACCGATCTTTAGTGGACAGCCACCTGTGGGAGTTCTTTTGGAGGCAAAGACACCGAAAAATGGACCTTTTCATGCAAATTATTAATGACTTGTCTCAATTTCACCCTCTTCAATAGAGAGTAAAAGTTCAAGTTCCATATCCTCCCTTTTCATAATCTTTTTTGGGTGGCGGAGCTTAACTTTTTGGCGGGGCTTAACTGGAAAAGATCTAATAGCACCGTAGTTCAGCATCGACTATGGCTTTTACATTTACCGGTGGGGCGTCCCAGTTCTGATTCTTGTCAATTAATGAATCTGTCGGAGGCCGCAGATTGGTGCCCCACAAGTTGTCCGACGGTCCTAAGCGCTTTTGACGCGTAGAACAGGGTTGTCCGATCTCCTTATTTTTATTTGACATTGACCAAGATGTGAACAGCCACTTGATTACACTGTGGTTTTTAACCAGGAGGAACTTGAAGTAGTTGACCAATTCACCAATCTTAGTAGCTGCGTTTGCAGCGGGGAGTGTACCGTTGCGGAACCTAGGACTGCCTCCTTGGACCAGCGAAATATGTGGCGTTCTTTTCGGTCTGAAAAGCCGCGTGTGCAAGGACATAGTGAGGGGCATGCTTCTCTATCTTAGTGACACTAGCACCTTCCACTGAAGAGTACAAAGCGACTAAAAGTCTTCGATCATCGCTACCTGCGGGGTTTTACTGGTGTCGGATGGTATTAAGCGCATACGTAACAAAAATGTGCGGAGGTGAGTGCTAAGCAGCGATAAACTGATTAGCTCCTTGGAACACTGACTAACACCGACTAAGTTGCGTTCGGCGTGTGCAAGTGCTACACATGCTAGGTCACCGCTTACAAAGGAGAGCTTTGTTTTATCTGCCGGTTGGATGGCGACAGTTGACTTGACAGCAGGAAACAATGTCGCTGGTGAGTAAACTGGGTGCTGCTGTTCTGTCCCGCCTCTCTGGTTGGAATGCACGTGGCCCCCTTGTGCTTTATTCAGGAGATTATAGGACAAGGCTTGCAGTAGGCATTTGTGGCGCGTCTGCAGTTGTCTTCTAGTCGGATTGCCTGTTTAAGGTGCGTCTGGTGCTATCTTAGCCGCCAGGTAGTGGGACTGTGTGAACCTACTCTTGAGGAGAACTATCTCTGAAGCATATTCAAAGGATCCGTAGAAAGCCGGGGAAATCAGAGCTGAAAGGAAAACGCTCCCATATATTATGGAGCCAGTACGTATCACGGTCTGAAAACAAGACTAAAAGAAACGCGCCGTTACTCATGGAAAGTGTAGCTGATTGTTAAATGGACAAACATTTGACAAATACCGAAAACATATCACTGTTTTGTATGGCGTATGACTGCGGAATTCCGAGCTTTAGCATAAAAGCGGAAAAACTAAAACGGAGAGTTGTGAATTGTGCAACTCCATGCGCTAGGAGTTAACTGCTTGGTGAATGCGAACGATCCGAAATCGATTTCGGATTGCCTAGATTCAACTATTGATGGCACTGATACGTGGTACGAAATTAGAATCGCGGTTGTTCTTGCTTTAGGCGCTAGAGATGGCTTTGTATCTTCTACCGCGTTCCCAGGTGGAATTTGTTCGTCCGACGAGAGATACCATGATTATGCAAACTTGGATGAGCCGCTGTAATTCGGAACTATGTAGTAAATGATAGTGATGGTTCAGCTGCGAGTTGCGTGATCCATTGATATGGCATCTGGACCAGAGGGACTAACCCGTAAGTGCAAAAGCCCATAGGACGCCAGTGGTTGTTGTTGCTGCATGCAATTGACGCAATGTATAATAAAACAAACTACCAAGATAGGTATTAGTGGAGATAGCCCATACACATGGTTTGCGGCATCCGGTTCCGGAGCGGCGTTTCACTGCGGCCTCCTCGGGGACAACCACACAACGCCTGCGCCTACAGAGGGACCACGGGTGGCTTGCACTGCACCACCCACACACCCCATATCCAATGTTAACCCGAAGGAATAAGATCGAGAGACAAGTGAAGGGGAGCCACGTTTCATCAACGGTGACGGCGCACACTCCTTCAAGATGCACAGTAGCAAAATTCCTGTCTATCAATGTAGGGAATCATGCTTACCAGACGTACACAAACCGGTGGCTGGGCCGTAGTCCGCTCCACACCGGATGGAACCGTTCTTTCAGTTTAGCAATGTCACGAGGACCGTGCACCCCGTTTACCCAGGAACGATTCAGTCTCGTGGAACCAGTAATCGTGGTGAAGTGTGCTACACAGATAGGCACCTTGTCAACATTCACATCAAGCGCAGCCACACCGGGGATATCAAACAACCAACACCGAATTTGAGGGAAAGCAAACACGCAAAATTTACGTAGAATGTACAGCGGATTAGCATAGTTGAACAAACCAAATAAAGCGAAATAACTGTTGTTCAGATTAAGGAGATCTAGTTTAAGTGCAAGTTGGTTTAGTCCAACTGCGGTGAAGAAGCATTATGAATGCAACATCCCCTAAACATACACACAGACGGACCTTCTGCGGTTGGATTGGGAGTAATGCTGCGCCAATCAGTTTCAAACGCTTAATGCCCACAAATGAACTGCCGAGAAGCACAAATGAAATGTTAGAACATTCACATTTACAAGGACCAGCACCACAGCCTAAGTGACAATACAGCCCAACCTGCAATGGCGACCAGCCAAAAACATCTCCAACGTTTTCTCCTATCAGCAATGGCTCTATGCATGAGCCTGTCCATGGCGACCATCTGTCCAAGACGACCAGTTTTTGTCGGTCCCTTGAGTGGTCCCCTCAGACAGGTTTGATTGTACTATGAAGCGGAGTGCTAACCTTTTGGTAAAAGTGCCTTTGTCTGTACGGAAACTATTCAGTTGTGGCATAAGTGCAAAGAATAAATAAGCGCACCTAGCGCTGGTCCGCATGCTACCCACCGTTGATGAGGTCAAAGGAGTGATATAGAAACAAGCACCGGGGAAGATTCGGCCCTGAAGTTGGAAACGGCGCCTGCTTCAGTTTGGGCAGTAGTTTCTGCGTCAGCGCATTCGGGTGTGCATAACCAATACCGAGATGACAGAAAATGCGACGATCGTGGGAGTCTGTCTTGAGAGACGCAGTACACGTCAACAGCTAGAATATTCATTGTGTGGATAGGTGCAGCCCATGGACCTAAATAGCTTTGGACACAAACGCTGAATAACTAAAGAGAGATCGAAAATGTACGACTGATAAAGGGCACCGAGATAGAACTGCAGATGGTAGAACTCCACTAGTACCGCAGCTGTGGTTACCTTGAAGAGACCTGAATCAACCTGAATAAAGAGGACGCGGGAGAAACGGGTAGCGGTAGCCAGTTTCGTTCACTCACTGGGTTATATTCCGTAGACAAGGCGGCGCTTTTGAAATTGCGCGACAACCGACGCAGGATGCGGTAAAACTTTGGAGGGCGTGACGGTTGTCGCTGGGCTAGAAAACTCGGGCCTTCAAATAAAGCCCTTATCACAAAAATCTTATCAAAAGACAGTGGTGGCACGGTAACAATGCATAAAATGGGACGTTATCGTGAAAAGCGGTGCCGCTCACCAATCCCGAGGACAGAAACTGGGTGTGTTGGACCTCCAAATGTTTAATAGTGTGGTAGGAGTCGCCCTCATGGTAATCAAGATCACCACCACATAAAAGATTTGGGGTGCGTAAACCTCGCCGCGTCAACGTTTATGCTTGTTGCAACATGAGGAACAAGAGCAATGGAGACACCGGATTTCGCGATCCCGGTGTCCCGATTTAGGCTGACGCACATGCTCCCACATCCGATTGAAATGGCAACCGGTTCCGTGCAATTTAGGCGCAATGAATTCTGGCTGAGAATGACGGTGAATCCACTTCGACAACTTCTCCCCAACGGGCACACCACGAATCCGAAAGTAAGTCGGTTGTACAAGGGTAAAAATTGCGAAGGACAGAGCACATTGTATGTAACGGAAATAAAACTACGATAATCGTTGTAACGCTATGAGGCAGAGAGATAACACAAATTAGCAGTAAATGAAGTTAGCTCAAAGCGCTTGAGGCGAAGAGGTACTCCTACATGTATGCACATCCTTGCATGAAGCCCCGAAAGTGAAGCAACAATCAGAGCAAACTTGAGCTTACTATAACTGGTCCGAAGTCGTCATTATCACACTGAGGAACGATCTCGTCTGATGGAATGACATTAGGGTCCACATGTGGCATCGCTGTGGTTGATTCATGATTTGTGCGAAGTTGGAAATCCACACAATGCTCAGGGAGCATCTTATCAGCGGGAGATCCGAGGCCCGGCACAGCTACACAATGCAGGGAAGGTGACTGTGGTCCCCGATCCCATGTCGATGTAAGAGAAACAGCGTCTCTCGTTGGGGAGGGGTGCTCGTGAGCACGATTGCACCGATCCATAATGCCGTTGTTCTGTGCATCATCGGTAGTTTCATCCACTGTGGTTGCCGTTACAATGACTTCGCCGGCTGGCGGAGCGGCTGGAACCAGTGTTTCCTCTTCCGTCAAAATGTAGGCGTTTGTGTCCACCAAATCTCCACTGGTGGTGTCTATATGTCCCACAACCGAGACCATATCGTCCCGAGTGTTCTGTCGCAGCACATACAAACATGAATGTAAGCAGAGTTAACGAATCCGAGATAAAAGAAATTGTTCTTCAAACGCCACAAGTACACATAGACCCAAATGAAGCAAGGAAATTACGGTCTGAAATGAATTTCAAAAACATTGCAACATGCCAGTGTTGGACAAGGAGAGAGGTTAGGGCCTCACTCTGCTGTGCAAACAAGCATTCTGCTCTGTGGTACATTTATTAGTAACGAAACAAAGCGTCGGAAGATCTACCACCATGCAGTGACCTACAACATGAGTGAAAAGTAAGAAAGCCTAACAAACCAAAGCCAAACAAACCGAAGTTCAACGCTGGGATGGACGATAAACGAGTAAATATGGAATTCAACAAGCCTATTACAACGTCCAATCGAGGAAACAAGTATACTAATGTGGAATTTGTATGAAATGGTACGAAAAGGAGATGACTATCGAGTCGGACAAAATAATAATAGACTGATTGAGGGTCATTTTGAAGTACTTGTCGTGGGATTCAACTGCCGTGCGCAGTCCCAGTGTGAACAGTGATTCGCGTTGAAATGAACCTTGGTCGATTCGATCACCAGAACGGTGATTGAAGCAAACGGAAATTAGGTGTTATCCACCTGAGAACACTGCACCCTATACCACGCTTCGAACATACTTGATCCCATCAGGCGGTAATAGCAGGCCTCGAAACCGAGACAGTCGAGATGTTAGTTGCGTTCTCTAACCCTCTAGTTACTAGAGGATCATTCTGAAGTACTCGTTGTGTGATTGGATTGTGACGCGCAATATCAATAATAAGCATAATAATAATAATAATAATGTGATAATTAAAAATAATTGAACAAGAAGTGAAATCGGTAACTGAGGTAATTAAAAAGCAAAGTTCATAGAACAAATGCAAGAGCACCATCGGCTTCGTGATCGTGTTGTATCTAAGTGGATAGCTATTCAAAGAAAAGTGACGGATCCCGATGACAACCATTCGATGATGGCAGGTACGAACTACGCTTAAGCGTTCAGTGAGTTTTCTTGCTCATATCATAGAATGAGCACCTTGGGATTTCACCCAACTAGGTGCAGCACTGTGAAACAATACATATTCAAGTAACCGACATGTAGATATATAACTGAACCACCGAGTGGTCTGCGCGCCTGGTGTGCAACCATAAGGTCACCGGTTCGAATCCCCGTATGGGGTAGGGGTCCTTGCGGTGTATGCAGCCCGCGCGCGACTGGTGGTGGTCGCGCGGCATCAAAGCGCCGTTACAGCGTAAAGCCGATGCATTATTATTATTTATTTGCTCCCACTAGATAGTGACAATGATTTGCAAGCATCAGTGAGTAAATACTGTTGTTACTGCCCTTAGAGTGTAGTTGTAACACTGGTTATACTAGCGTTGTAAACACTTCACTTGATGAAAAAGCCAACATAATTAGGACTACAAGATAATGTCTTAATTGAAGACAATAACCTAAATGGCTGAATGAATCTTAAGAAAGGAGCAAACAGTCGAAGTAATGACAGCAGGCTCTGAAATGTTCTATTTGATACTGAAGTTCCGGGCAGGGGAGGTCAATATCACCGCTGACGCTAAGCATTTGACCCTTTTGCAACTATAGAAAGGAGTAGGAAGACGTTTGCACGCGAGATAAGTACTATAATAATAAATAATGGGTCAGCTATACGCCGTAACGGCGCTTCGCTGCCGCGCGATCACCACCAGTCGCGCGCGGGCTGTGTATACCGCGAGGACGCCCACTCCCACGCGGATTCGAACCGGTGACCTTACGGTTGCAAACCAAACGTGCAGACCACCCGGCCGCCGGCCGACGAGGTAAGTACTGCTGATGAGCCGATAAAGTTTACGGTGGAGCTGGAATCGTGCATGGACACGGAGCACAACATCAAATTGGAAAACATCGAAATCGTCAGGAGTGGACTGCAAGTAATCAAATGCCGAGGTTGTGGAAATTACGGGAGCTGACAACTGTCAATGGAATAGATGCAGAAAAGCCATCAGGTACGTGGCGACCAGTTTAATCTGATCAATTTTATGACAGTCAACGGATCCCAGTTTGTGGTTGAAGGCCACCACCAAAGACAACACGAGATGCATGAGGTTACTTGTCGACGCTTCATCACCACCCTCCAAAGCAACACGTGCCAGTTTGGGTAGAGGTTGAGAACTGCTGATAGGTTGCTTTAACCCCGGGGCAGGAGTCGCACGTTGTACCAAAATGGGTGGTAAGTTGACTGACTGAGTAAATAAATGAGCAACAAGAAAGAACTGACCCGAAGGCTCCGTATGGAAAGTAACGAACAAAGTCAACAGTCGGCCTCAAGTTAAGCAAACAAGGAAAACAGGCCATCGGTCAAATTTCACTCATCCATGCCGACAACATTTATGGTAAGTTGATTGCTGCCTAGCCTGCTAACGAAACATCAGCAAACAAAATGTTTCACGTATGAGAGGTTACCTTAAAAATGTCATACAACCATTCCCATTTAAGAATTCTAACAGCTCAACAAGCAATATTTTAGCAGAATAATCTGAATTCAGTATATTTCGTGTATTCGCATCAGCCGCTTGCATACAGCGGGTGAAAACATCAAACGGTTAGGAATGACAGGAAATTCTGAGATAAAGTTCACCGTGGAAAGCGAAACATCAGGAAAATTCCACTTCATGGATGTAGCCTCGGAGAAAAAAGATCAATTTACCACAATCCGAACTGGACGGGGCAATACCTGAACTTCAAAAGCTATTCTCCCATTAACTATAAGTGCTTTTTGGTCCGTGCCTCTTTTGTGAGAACCCACCTTATCTGTTTAGAAGTAAGGTTTGAGGAAGAACCACATGTCGCGCCCGCCGTACGTAAAAATGCTTACTCTGATAAGTTTATGGCCAGGTATGGGGGGAAAATGGTGCCGCAAGAGGAACGGGCTGTAGCCTCAAAGAAAGCATTCATCATACTGCTTTGGGAAGGGGACCAAAATGACGTTTCTGTGATAGCTTACATCACAAAGAGGTGCTATTATGCAGCTGATCTCGTGTTGTTTCATAGCACAAAAATGATGCTACACGTATCCAATATAGACAGGCCTCATTCTAAAGTCATCGCCTCCTGTGTTTATCAGTGTAACTGCAGTTGCGGTAGCAAGTACATCGGCCGAAGAGATAGGTTATCTGCCCGGATTTGGGAACATGTTCCGCGAAATATAGCTCTCATTGGTGTAACAGTACTTATTAGTTCTATTGACCGACACTTAGTCGACTACTCGATGTGCTAAAACCCCTGCGAGGCATGTAAGGTCAGCAACAAACTGAACAATTCCAAGTTATTACGTTTTGCCTAGGTTCCTGTCATCCGGCGTTTGAAAACCCACCTATGCAAACAGCTTGATTCTGTGGCCAACCTTGATTTCTCTCGGAAGGGTGTGACAGCTCCGCTATCGACTTCTGGCAATGATATGTCAATGCTAAACGTATGAAGTTTCCCCCAATGTGTGTAAGCGGTTGATGAGAGTACGCGAAAGCGACTAAATTCAGAGTATTCCACTGAAAGGTTGTTTGTTCTTGCGCTGTTAAAACATCAGCAAACGAACCATATTCACATCCTGGTCAACTAATATTCAGAATGAATCAGGATGTGATGAAACTTCCCAGAAAAACACAAAAATCCCCATCTACTCTGGCAATCAGCAATTGCCGGAACTACATTATAATGTCAAAATTGGTGGATCAATGAGAGTAGCTGTGATTTTATCAGTCAGTCCTGTCCTCTCTATAATACTACTATGTACTGACTTTTCTATGTACGACTAGACAAAGTAACACCTCATTCGTAGATATCGGTACATGTGTAGTGACCTTAGCTGCATATCTAGACTTGTTTCAACTGGATCGACTGAGTCGTTCCCGCGATACAGCATTTTGTGTAAGGTCGGGTTTTAATACCCCGTTACATTTGTGATGGAGCGAAATTTCGAAAGGTACGCTATCAAATCTTGTGTGAAACTCAAGAAGTCTGCCAGCGAGACATTAGAAAATTTAACGGAAGCTTATAAAGATGCCACTCTACTGAAAAATATCGTTTTCAAGTGGCACAAAGCTTTCACAGAGGATCAAGAAAATATTGAAGACGAACCTCGTTCCGGAATGCCAAATTTGTCAACAAACGGTCAAAATGAGGGTTGTGAAAGCTGTGATGGCGAAACACCGCCGATTGTGTGTCAGGATGATTGCAATAGAAACTGGATTGGGTAAAAATGCAGTTCATAGAATTTTAACAAACGTTTTACACATGCGATAAATTTGTGCAAAACTGGTACCCAAAGAATTGTATGCGGAGGGAAAAGAGAAACGGTTGGAAATTAGCCAATATTTGCTGGGAAGACTCGTAATTGAATCAAAGTGATTGGATAAAGCAATTATAGGAGACGAATCAGAGACGTTCGAGTATGATGCCGAGACTAAAGGGCAAAGTGAGGAATGGCACATGATAAATGCTCCTCGTCAGAAGAAAGCACACAGCAGCAGATCCTGGGTGAAAACGATGGTCTTTGTTTTTGCGACAGACGTGGAATTGTGTACAAAGAATTTGTACGTAGAGGACAAACAGTTAGTCAGGCCTTCTACAAAGACGGTTTGGAACGACTTCGAAAACGGGTCCAGCGTATCCGAAAGAACATTGCAGATGATTGGGTGCTGCACCGCGATAACGCGCCTACTCCCATAGCGCTTTCAGTTCGATAGTTTTCGGCAAAGCAAATCATCTCAATACTACCACAATCTTCCTACAGCCCAGACCTAGCTCCATGCGATTTCTACATCTTCCCTAAGATGAAATATAAGTTGAGAGGTCATCATTATGGAGCCGTGGAAGACATCAAAAAAATCGTAACCAATGTACTAAACACTAGTAGTGGAGAAAACGTTGGAACCAGTGTAAATTCCCAAGGAGATAACTTGTAATTTTGGGTTAGTCTTTTATACATTTAAATATAAAATCAGTACACGTACTTTTGGGACAGATGAGAAGTCACGTACACGGTAGCGCAGAATTAGCAATGCAAAATAACATCCAGTCATTAGTTATCCATGGATCAGTGGTTTACGTAGCCAACTCGTAAGAGGAAAAGTGCGGGCTCGTATCCAGCATGACCCGGCGGATGAGCACTGCTGATGGGTCAGAATGGGGCTAAACGGCCCTCACTATTTTCCTGGAAGCGCGGTGATTGCCTAAACGAGTGCGGCTGCAAAGAGACTTACCAAAAATACATTCATAACACTTATTGAAATGCACAATTAGAAGACGAAGCTCGGCAGATGCATGCATTTCGTATCGTCTCATCAGTGCCGATAACGATAACCGGTAATTTTATATAACAGTTTGTGGGTACAGACATACATACAAACAAAGGAGAGAAAAAAAGGGGTGACTTTGTTCTACAACAAGGGCAGCCTGAGGCTGACCGATAATTGAAATGACACTGATCATAGTATTAGGTGCTGTGGATTTTGCCCTGAACCAATATATCACGACACCCCTCGTTGTGAGAATAACAAATTGAAAAATGTGAGCAGATATGAAAACAAAAATTCAAATTGGAGGAAACCAAGACACCCATATTGGATGGAGGAATCTGAAGATATAGAGCGGAAACACAAACCCCCAAAAGAGTCGAGTTGATCTCCGGACTGGACGTTTTAGTTGCGGACGTTCCATCCCCAGGTTAGGCAATATCATCGGTGGAAAGCATCGAGGAGTGACTAGCTTCTGCTTTTAGTTCCGGTCATAGGCCAACATTTACTTCGCATGCTCCGCACTGACTCTTCTTTGGCCAGTTGGCCTGAGACGAGTTGCTAACTTAGTCCGAAGCACCTCGTACGAAGCCGCTACATCCGAGTGTTTGTTGATTGAGTTCTGCAGAGAGTCAGGCTTTGTTCATACCACACCTATCCGACTACTTATGTAACCCACCACTCGTCTATACAACGCAAGGAGCCTGTGAGAAACATGGAAGCCAAAGCTTGACTACTGAGCGGGAGTAAAAGTAAGCTAGGGGCATTAGTAAGTCACTGCTTTGAAAACCGCACTCATAATGTTGACTAGCTTTAGGGCCTAACTCCCTCATCCACACTATGGTTACAAATATGCTCAGTACTTTCCACTCGGTCACCTTATCCTATTGACCTCGTGACGTGGACTAATGTGTAACCTAAAATGTGCTGCATACGGATGATAACAACAGCTGAAACGCTTCTGTGTTAGATACTAACAGGGAAAGTGCTATGAATGTGTATATGCACAATTGATCAGTGTTTGGTTAAGAAACCCACGATGAGATAGTGCACGCCCCACTGTCATAGAAATTCACTTGTGACTGTGGAGACAGTTGCTGGACGCACTGACTGTAGCTCAAGCGTCAGAGTTGGTGAACGAATTGCCAAATGATAACGCAGACAGATGAGATCTATGATGACAGAATCGCGTGGACTGAGAGGTTAAATTGCCTCAGAAATCACAAGACGCTTGATAGAAACTTACTACCAGATCAACTCCGATGAGTCATTCACCGTCCTTGGGCGTAATCAAAAAGCCCCACATCTTAAGGCCACTGGAAGCCATTGTCACTGATCGAGAAGGGCTGATGTTCTGTGCACATCGGCACGGACGGTGAATCTGAGTCTACAGTGGTAGCACAACGAGTACCAGCTGTTCACTGCTCAGTCATCAATCGATCTCCCATGCGGTTGTCCTTCAAACCAGAGTTGGCTGCATATCTGGCGATTGACGATAACGAAATAAATGACTGACTCATCCCACAGCCTATGCCATCTGATTTTCTTGTTTGATATTAGAAAGAGAATTCCCTGTATCAAATCGAAGAAACGATCCTACTAATTAGTAGATTGGGTCACTTGGGTAGCAAAAGTTACCACAGTGAACAGGATAGAGTTGCTTACCAGCATAGCATCACGGGCATCGAAATGTCCCTTAAAATCTGCTATGTCCAAGGGAGTCATTTCAAACTTGTTCTGCACGTGCGCATCTGCACCGAAACGCATCAGCATTTGAACCACGGGAGTATGACCACGTTCAGCTGCCCAGTGTAATGCTGTCATTTGCAACATATCTTTGGCTCCAATGTCGGCGCCACTGCGTAGCAACAACTCGACGATATCTGCATGACCTTCTTGCGCCGCCAAATGCAAAGGTGTTCGATCCACTTTGGTGCGTGCATCACGACTGATACCGGCACAAAGAAGTGCTTCACAAGAGCTAAAGTGACCGTTCATGGCTGCAAAATGCAGTGGCGATATACCAAGCTGCAAAAAGAAGACCGTGATAGGTATGTGAGGCAATGTATAGGAAAGGGTACAGTGGTGCGCATTAAAGTCTCCACATTTGAATGACGGGCTGAGAAAGCAATAATAGGAAAACACATCATTTTCCGAGCATGATGCGCACAAGCAAATAATTAAAACGCAAGAAGACTGTCAACAAAAGTATAAAAAACTAAGACGACTGTGTAGCTGCGTGCCGCAAAAAACGGACGCATATATATATATATATATATATATATATATATATATATATATATATATATATATATATATATATATAGCAGGACAGCCTATGGTGCGCTGAGGCTAGTGGTGACAAGACCCAGACAGATGGTCAACCCATTGTTGCTACGGTTGTGCCATGAGCTCGTCCTGGATGCCTCCTAGTGGCGACCGCTGGATGGGAGTTGGGTTACGCCCTTCTCATTGCTAAGAACCAGGACACCAATCCATATGGGTTGGTGAACTGACCATGTGCTAGCCCCACTGCTTTTCGGGTGTTCATTTAATCGAAAGCTTTGGCTGAGGACCCGAGTCGTTCTCCTGTCAGGTGTAGGTGCCCTGGCAGCATTAGTCCATCCTCGTCGAAGGTTAGGAAGTGGTCGATGGCCCTCTTCCCGTAAAACATAGTCATGGGAAACAACAGGTCTACAGGTTATAAGCTCACCGTTAGATTGGCGTAAAGCACGAGCGCCACACATTGTCTAGGACGGAGGGAGGGCACCTGCGGGTGCTCAATGATTTACTATTGCCCCTCTAAAGCCAGACAACCCCTGGACAAATCGGTGAAAACCCGCCAAAACCCACCTGCGTCTGGCAGATCCCAATCTGGCTCTGCAATTACATTCCCGAGCTAGATCTGCTCCCCACTGCCTTATGCATTAGGCTATTGAGCCAAAGGCTCCGGGCGGATACCATCAAGCAAACCTCCAAATCCCCCACTGTCTTATGGGTCAGGCTAATGAGCCAAAGGCTCCGGGTGGAATCCACCAAGCAAACCTCCGAAGCACAACGACCATCTCGCGTGCGATTGCCCATCAATGCAATCGTATGCCTGCGCGCAAAGCACTCAGCACCGGGTGCTGGAACGCGCGCACATTACTGGACCGGAACTCGAGTGAGCGCCCCGAGCGACGCACCGCACTGGCCGGGATGGAAGTGGCGCGCTACAACATCGATATTGCGGCGCTCAGTGAAACCCGGCTCGCTGAGCAAGTTGCATGAAGCAGGTGCTGGCTACACGTTCTACTGGGTGGACGACGCCACTTCAATACCATGTGAACATGGGGTCGGATTTGCAATATCCGATCGCCTCCGATCGCAACAGGCATCAGCGCGCGACTGATGACTGTTCGCCCACGCCTTGGAACAGGTAAGTTTGCCACTTTAATAAGCATGTACGGTCCGATTATGTGTTGTCCTGATGACACGCGTTATCAATTCTACACTCAGCTATTCTCTATAATAAGGTCTGTGCCGAGGAGCGACCGACTATTTCTGCTGGGTGATTTCGACGCGCGCGTTGGGCGTGATGCATCGGTGTGGACAGATGTCGTCGGTCCGCATGGCATTGGTTCAGCGAATTCGAACGGTGATAGGCTGCTCTCACCGTGTGTCACTCACGGTCTGACGAGCACGAACACTCGGCTTACACTGAGTGCGAGTGATATAGCAACTTCGACGCACCCATGGAGTGGTCACGCTCACCTGCTCGTCTATATCATGGTACGTCAGCGTGATATGCGTGAAATGCGCATGACGTGTACTGCGTGGATCTGAGTGTGGCACTGATCACAAATCGGTGCGGACCAAACAGTACATATATTTTCGTAAGCCAATTCTTTTGAAATTCACCGTAAATCGGCGTAAATTTACCATTCTCCCCCCTCGGCACCGTGGAGAAACGTACTGAATTGGAGAAGGTGGCGGCTGCACGCCTGTGTGATGTGGAATGCATAGTCACAGTGGGCGACCTGTGGCACCAGATTCGCGACCAGGTGACAGCTGTAAGCGGCCTGATTGGTTTGAGGAGAACAATGCGACGATCGGCGTATTGGTGTGTGAGAAGAATGCAGCATTTGCTGCACATATGGCAGACCCAAATAACTTGGGGAAGGAAAGTTTGGGCGAATTCGACGACGACTGACCGGAGAGATCCGTCGCATTAAAAAGGTATGGTGGACGGAGAAGGCGAGGCAGATGGAATGCTACGCCGAAGGCCACCAACACAAGGAATTCTTTGACACCTGGAAAGTGGTGTATGGACCGAGACTGGAGCCGCTGAGGACGCTAGTCGATGGTAGCTCAGGCGCTACCTGCACACAAACTGCAGATCTGTCAAAAACACTTTAACTGTCTCTTGAACAACTGTTCAGAAATTGACCGGCCTACACTGAAGGGTCTCAAGCACCACGATGTGAATATGTGTCTGGTGGAAACGCCGACACTGGATGGGACGCAGAGAGCACTTGCTAGACTGCGAAACGGCGTGTCGGTGCCAAAGGGATCACGTCTGAAGTATTGAAACACGGTGGACCTGCGTTGGTAACTGCGCTGCACCAGTTGGTGTAACGCGTGTGGATTGAGGAGGTGCCTCCTAAGCTGAAGGATTCCCTTTTGCTACCTACTGCACAAGGGCAAAGGGAGCAAACAATGTTGCACGAATTATCCTGACATGAACTTGCTGAGTTGTGTGGGCAAGGTGATTGCTTGAATCCTGCTCAACCGCTTTGTCAGTCAGGTTGTGGAATCGAACGTGGCGGAAAAGCGGTGTGGATTCCGTTCGGGTCACAGCACTATAGATATGGCGTTTGCGACTCGTCAGTTGCAGGAGAAGTGTACAGAACGACACCAGCCGTTGCACTCGCTTTTTATTGCTTTCACCAAGGCTTTGATACGGTGAAGCGCGAGGCATTGTGCCTGGTATTAGGTAAGTTTGGTTGTCCGATTAAGCTTGAAAGTTTGATTGGACGTCTGCACAGCGGGATGTGGACGAATGTGCAGCTGACTTTGCAGTTGTCGCTGGTGTGAAGCAAGGTAGTGTATTAGCTCCTGCTCAGTTTAATATTTATCTTCATGCCATGATGTCTGGTGCTTTTGATGCGACTTGTGCTTACGGCGTTCTTGTGGAGCACCGTACTGATGATGAAATGCTGAACATTCGTCGCTTCGGTGCGAGAACCTTAGTCTGTGAGACAACCATCCGTAGGTTAGTGTTTGCCGAGCACTGTGCGTTGCTTACACACAGTGCGGATGATGCAGCACAGGACTTCGGCTCTAACTTCGATAGCAGCCAAATTCGAGCTCACCATCCGCAATTCGTCTTTCTCAGACTACACCAGAAATGGAATCCGTGAGCTTGCCGCAGATGCAACATTGACGTTTTGAAAACCACTTCGAGAATTTGCTACCTTTGGAGTGTAATATCCATAGATCAATAGATGACGTGTGAGCTGCGTATCCGCGTATCGAAGACGACTGTTGCGTTTGACAAACTGGAAAAGCGTGTGTGGACCAACTACCAGCATGCTGTCGGGGCGAAGCTGCTGGTATGCAAGTCTATGATGCTATCCGTTCTTCCATACGGCAACAAAACCTAGACGATGTACCGGAAGGATGTCCGTTGTTTGGAACGCTTCCATCAACCGTGTCTGTGTCGTATACTGTTATCCGTTGGCGTGACCAAGGTGCAGACAAGGAGGTGCTCGGACGCAGTAGCATGTATGTAATGGACTGAGCTGGCTCAGGCGTGTTCGTCGCATGGGTTCGACTCGGATACCGAAACAGCTGCTTTATGGCCAGCTGCGCGTATGGAACCAAAAGGTGGAAAAAGAAAAGTTACGTTACCAAGACATGATCAAGGTGAGTTCATCACGAACTAATGTTGATCTCAGGTGTGGGGAATCGAAGGTGGTTGATCGGCATACATAGCGAGACCTGATCACGAAGGCACTTGGGGAGGTGCAAGAGAAATCCCCCGTGCATGCAGAGAAGCGGCAAGTAGGAAAGCGACAGTCGCCGATGGGGAGTACTCCACCTACGTCAAGCGCATGGTGCTGTAGCACATGCGGTCGCGAGTGCCTGAGTCAGGCAGGTCTAGTGAGCCACAAACGAAGCCACTCGGGACCAGCATCGAAACGACGACGGGTTCTGTTGAGAGCGCAGGGAGAACCGGCGCAGCGTTTGTAGGTACGCTGCATTCGATTTACTAACGGTGTGCTTACGTGCTGAGTCTCTTTATTTCAGACGGCGCGTTTGCTACCTTGTCTTGATGCCTACTTTCTTTCTGCTTGAATAGACTAATGAATTGCAAAGGTTGCTTATACGAATGGTGCTTAACTTCGCTTTATTCTCCATTTTGCCTATGTTCGTTGATCAGTTTATCTGCCATCTTTAATTTGTCGCGGCTACCTTGATCTTCATGAGCTAATTTAGTGTCATATCCGTATGGTGTTTTCGACCTATTTTATTGGTTATTTTATTTCATGTGATTGGTTGTTGCTTGATATCCCTGGTGTGGTTGCGCTTGATGTGTATGTTCACAAGGTGGTTACCCATCTATTACCCACTACCCCGTCTATACAACCTCCGGGAGACAGTTGGTCATTGCTGGAGGGGAGGGTGTACGGCCTTCGTGGTCGTGCTAGGCTCGAAGAGTGATTCCATGAACAAGGTGTGTGTGTGTGTGTGTGTGTGTGTGTGTGTGTGGAGCGGACTACGGTCCATCGACCGCCTTGTATGCGATTGATTCCCAAACACAGCGTCCTTGTGTTTGCCTGTGAAGGAGTGTGGGTCGGCTCTGTTGATAAAACGTGGCTCCCATCCACAAGCCTCCCGGTCTTATTTCTTCGGCTTTACACTGGATATGGGTATGTAGATGGAGCTGTGGGTGGTGCATCAGAAGCCACCCATGGTCCCTGTGTAGGCGCAAGCGTCCTGTGGAGACCACAGTGACAGGCAAATCTGAAACCGGATGCCGTCAA